TCTATGGAAGCCGCCCAGAGTGGCTAGGGAGGCCCAGACAGATGGGCGGGGTATAAATAATAAATTATTATTATTATTATTATTATTATTTACTACACATGTTCAGCGTGTTAGTTTCCATTTCAAAAGTGCTAGAGCACTGTAATTCTGTGAGCTGCACTTTTTCTTCATTTTACGATGAATGCTAAGCACATAAATGAGCAAATTAAAAAAGTTTGTTTCTTTTTCCTCCCTTCTTTTGTAAACAAGGGAGAAGGCGTAAGTGTGGTGTCTGACATAAGCATAAAAAAAGTTAATTTGGGGGCTAAAAAAGTTAATTTGGGGAGGGGAACGCTGGGCGGATCTTTGCACCCCTGTGGCTCATATGCAAAAGATGGCCCTGACATTACATCCAAACTAATAATTATGGTTTGTTTCACTGCTGACAAACCATCATATGAAGGCAAGGTTTGTTCTTCATTTCCCGAACTAGGTTTTTTGGGGGGTGGGCAAAACAAACCACAAGCTCTCATATGGACGTAACGCTGAGACAGCTTCTGTGGCTGTTTTCAGTTCGCAAATGATATGTAACTGGTGATTCCCCCCTCACCCTTTGCATTGCATTTCCTTTGTGCAGAAGTGAATGGGGTAGAATAATCTAATGGCAGAGTGATTTATGGAATTAATTCTGTAGATTATGTAAATTGCATAACTTTGTCACGGTGGGAAGTGAGAAGAACAACTTAGGTTGTGGGCAGAAGATGAAATGCAGCAGAATGGGTAAAATGCTGCATGTTGTGATTTCTGGGCAGAACAGAAAATGATGCCTTCTTACTTCCCCAGTGTATCTTATACTAAAGTCTGAAAGGAATTGCTTTCACTTGCTTTTCAGAACTATAACTATATTAGCGTGTTGTACAAAAAAATAAGGTGGGGGGGAGTTATTTGTACTACTCATTTCAGAATAGCCCATCAAACCCACTGGCTCTGACTTCTGAGTAGATTTATATAGGAATGGGAATTCTAATCTGAAGTAGCCATGGTGAAGTCTGCAGTAGGTTGGTCTTTATTTCAGATTAGTTAATCCAGAAAATATTTGTCTCTGGCTCAGTTCAGTTTGTGCCCCTGGACATATTAACCCCATGAGAATTCAGTCCTCATCAGAAAAAAACAACAACCCAGTTGTCTGGAAATGGGACCACAAACATAATGTGAGACTCAGGCCCAGGAGCACCACTTTATACAGTAGTTAGAAACAGAGGAAGTAAACTCACTGACTAGAATGGGACAATCACTCAAGGACTTTCAGTAAGTAAACGCTTTCCTGCCTTACACAGATTGCTATGAGGCCAAGCAGGTTTTAGCGGGCAGGACAGATTATGAATCTGAAATAAATAAATTATGCCACCCAATAATAACTAATTAGTTTGCTACCTGATTATGATTCTGCAAGTGCCATCTGTTGTCTGCGGTAGTACAGCGGGATTCAGCCATAAAAGCTGCAATATCTTACGGGTAAATGAGGCATTGCTGAAAAGTTTTATAGAGCTTGGTCTTTCTTTTTTTAAATGCACTTATGCAAATTATTTTATGGGCTAATTTACAAATAGCCATACATTTCTGTTGACACTAATATTTTATTTTATATTTTCATTGATGCTCATTTAGGTCTTTCCTGGACAGCCTGGGGGCTAAACCAAATGTAGTGCCCCCCTCTGTTTAAATGTGGATGGACTTGGGTCACATAATAAAAAAGGAAGTCTGTGGTAGACCCCAAAAGTGATTTGTAGGTTGCGACATGCCATGCAAATACCAATGTATTGCATGAACAACTTTGAAAAGGGGAGGGAGATTTAAGTTTCTACTGCCAATCTTTTTTTGGAACCTGAGAACATTAATCTGTATACTACTGCAACTCTTCAAGATGCAAGCCACAAAAGAAGGTGGTGCTCCTAACATCTAGTGCCAAGAACACTATAAAATTGCACATGAAATGTTTCGATCCTAAAATATGATCAAAGCCCCAAATGTTTCTGGTTTTACATTCCTTGTGGCAACATGGAAAGAAAGAAAAGTGAAATATTTCCATCTGCCTGTTTGATATTACATATTCCCTATTGCATGGGGGTTGGACGAGATCACCCTTGCGGTTCCTTTCAAATTTTACGATTCTAAATAGATAGTCATTGTCTTACATTTTTTGTGGGCCATTCAGGTTTCAAACCTGGTTTTCATACAATAAATATTTATTCCACCCTGCTCCACTTCTCCCAGCTCCAATACTCCAAGACAAAATCTTGGAGTTCAAGGAATTCAAGAATGGGGACTATTTCTCTCTGAATTCTGTCTTCCCAAGAAATGGTCCCCAGGGATACCCTATCAGATACAGTATCAGTTATACTGCATGCATGACTGGCTGTTTCTCATTGGGTGTGGTAGATCAGAAGCCAGGGAGACCAACAGTGGTTGGATCCAGAGTCAATGACAGACTGCGGCAACCAACTCTAGTTTTGTCCCAGTCCTCTTCCCTCTTCCCTGCCGATTTCTGCAAGGGCAACACTTCGGCAAATGGCCACCCCCTGAACTGTTTGTAAGTAGAAAGGGGTGTGTATGGCTCTGGCTGAGAGCAGACTGAGGTTGGCCGCACACTGTTTTCATAATGAACCAGCCTTCACTGAGTGCAAGGTGTCACTTTTAGCAAGGAGTGCAAGCGCATAACATCTAATCCCAATGAATTCTCCAAGATCGCTTTTTTCCATGACATCTTGAAATAGCTAGTTCAGAAGCTACAGACATAAAACTCTTTGTAACTGGGATGTTACAAAAGATCTTTATACCTAAACAGCTCACATTTCAGAAGTGTAATCTGGGTGGTGCTCCAAGGACAGGAGAGACCCTGCGGTGCTTGAAACTCCTCAGATGAAAGTGTTAAATTTGCAGGAGAGAAGCTGTTATTTTCTTATTTTCCTCTTCGTGACATCGATTTGTGTGGCTAACATTTTAGTAATAAGAGGCATAATGTAAAGCTGTGGCCTGCTGCGAGGGGGAAGTTACCCATTGAGTGAACACGGCGGGGCCTATTCATAAATATTCATTAAGTCCTGCTTCATTGAAAATGAAATTTAAGTACTTAGGATAATGGAATAAAAGTAGGTGGAAGGCTCTTTCACATAGGCTAAGAAAATAGGGCTCAGGAGGAGACAAAGCAAAAGAGGTGTGTGGTGGGGGGAGGCCTGGCCATGTTTTCAGATGAAAACCTGAATGTAATGCTATCCTGATTTTTAAAGGAACTTAGACATTCATCATACCTTAAGCCAAAATACCCCCTTATAGTAGCGATGTAGCTCAATGGAAGAGCATGCTGCTCTGGCTGCCCATGAACTAGGAAGCCCAATTCAAAATGTTAGCCACTGGCATGGACAGCCCTAAATGCCTTGGGACCCAAAGACCTAAAAGAGGACATTTCCTAACATCAACCACTGTGGACTTGCGATCATCACATGAGGCTTTGTTTGTGGTGCCACCACTGGGAGCTTCCTACTTGATGCTGACCTGGGACAGAGCCTTTCCAGTGGTAGTTCCCTGTTTGTGGAATGCCTTCCCAGGCCAGGTGGGTCTTCCTCTCTCAATACAGTTGTACCTTGCTTTTCAAACGCCTTGGGAGTCAAATGTTTTGGCCCCTGAACAATCAAAAACCGGAAGTGGTTTTCAAACATTCTTTGGAACCCGAACATCTGATGGGACTTTTGTGGCTTCCGATTGGCTGCAGCCAATCGGAAGCCATGCCTTGGTTTCCAAATGATTTGGACTTCCAGAACGGATTCTGTTGAACTTCCAAGGTACCACTGTATTGACTTTCAGGAGGAATTTTGAAAATCTTCCTGTTTATCCAGGCACTTGATGGACGAAAGCTCATGTTTCTGGCAACCCAGATATCAGTTGTTTGGAGAATCTTTTTAACCACATTTAGAATGTTTTAAACTGTTTTTAGAATACTTTTAAAAAAATGTTGATGTGTTTTCTGCCCCGAGCTCCTTCTGGGGAAGGATGAGAATAAATCATCACAGTCCCCATCATCTCCAGGTACAACTGGAAAAGACTTATTGCCTGAACCCCTGGAGAGCTTCTTCCTGTCAATGTGGACAATGCTGAGCTAGATGGACCCATTATCTGATTCACCACAATGCAGCTTCCTATGTCCCTGTGCCCCAAAGTCAAGGGGAATACCTGTGCACATTTTATTTCAGCGAAACCCTCGCTAGTCTTTCAGTAACACACACTCCACCTGCATTTTTCATTTTTCAGATGGCTTGGCTCACAATAGGTTTCCCCTGAGGTGTACCTTGTAATTCTTTGCTGTGGATGCCACAGCTGTTGAAAGAGGGGAAGAAATCTTTATGAAATTGCACAGTAGGTACTAGCTTGCCTTTGGCGTTTGAGGAAGAAATGGGCTTACTGGATCTAAGCCAGTGCGCATCAGAAGACTGGAAGAGAATGAAGTCCTGAAGGCTCGTAACTCCCCAACCAATTGCCGAGAACTCTTTCAAGGCCTACTTCTAGCCAAATGATGTTAACAGTTCTGTGTGATGGACTCAGAGCATCTCATATCCTTCCACATCCGGGCCAGGAAAAACAGATAAGCATATTTTACATTGGAGGCCCCTATTCAAATTACATTCATGATGTGGTACACCCTATGAGCATGGCAAAGGTGGCTGCAGAAGCAACCTGGCTAGCTAGCTGACTGGGAAGAGCTGTTGCCTCTCAGCCAAGACATGGCTGGTTCTATCCATGCTACAGGAGGAGAGTAAAGGGATGGACCTTGCAAAGAGCCATAGCTCAGAGGTAGAGCATGTTTTGCACCCAGAAGGTCCCAGTTTCCATCTCAGGCATTTCCAAGTAAAGCTAGGAAAGATTCCTATCTGAACCCCATCACTGGAGACAATATTGTGCTAGGGGGATCAATGGTACGAATTGGTATAGGGCAGTTTCCTATGAGGTAGGGGGCATTTCGTCCTACCTGGAGATGCCAGGTTTTGAACCTGGGACCTTCTGTATGCAAAGCAGATGCTCTGCCACTGAAGTACAGCCCTCCCCCAACTCCCAACTCAGGGGCTTTTAAAGACTTCTGAGGCTAGTATTCCTGCTCCATGATTGCAGTCATAGGATTGTTGTCTTCCACATGACGGTGTATGTTTTGACTCCACAGAGTGGGAAGTGACGGAGACAGGATGTTTGTGTTGCTGTGTTCCGTGAAGTGGGACGATTGTCCTTTGTCTTTTTCTCTTTGCTGTCTGATGCTAGAGAGAGAGGGAGCCATGTTGCAGTGCTCCACATGTGTTTATATGTAAATAAAGTAGATTAGCAAAAATGCTGAGTTGTTGAGGTCTGTTAAGCAAGCTGCGCAAACTCTGCAGATCCCTAAGTGTGCCAGTGTCAGTTGGCATCGGTCGCTGTGATGTTCGGGCAGAAGAAAGCTTATGAAGCTCCCGAACAATCGACCAGGAGGGAGGGAACATGCCAGTCGGGCATGTGTCTCTGCCAGGGTCCTACTCAAGTGTAGGCTGAACTCCTGACACAGCAGACTAGCTTGGATACTAAGCTAAGCTAATTCAGGTTGCAAGACTATAGTCCTTGAGAGGGTGTTATAGCGGTCATTATATGTTTTGGAGCCTCCTCGCTGAGGACAGGGTGAGAGTGAGGGATGTCCACCCTCACACAGAGAGAGATATTTTATGAGAACCTTTGCTGCCACCATGGAAATCTCTACAGTTCTTGTCTTACCAATATCAGAGCACCAAAGTTTGGTGAGGGCAAGAGGGGGTTTGCCAGGGGCGGACTGGGTGAAGGCATGAATTCACTTTCCACAGCCTTCACAGTGGAATCAACACACATTCGCACATGAGGGAGAAACACACCAGCCTGACAGCATATGTATGGAACTAGTGGGAGAAAAATGAATTTAAAATAAGAATCCATATGGGAACCCCCCTCCCCCAAAACATCACTTAACAGTAGCTCTCGCTACATGATTTGCAGAAGAGTTATGCAAGAAGTAAGAATAATCATGGGGATTTCCTGATTTATTTATTTTTGGTGATTTTTAAATGTCACTGAATTCAATTACCCTGATGTAGGTTTTTCATCATTTCTTTAAATAGAGGAGAATGCACATAGCCCACATTTCATTTATTTATGTTAAATTTCTATACTGTCCTTCGTCCAAGGGTCACGGGGCACTTTGCAAAACAAAAACACAAAATTGTGCACCATAATAACAAACAATAACAATAACACCCCTCTCAGATTGATAAAATGATTAATAAAGACATCATTCTTTATCAATCTAGCTCCCCCCCAATACAAAATAATGAATTAGCACCCACGTGAGTAAAATGTGCATTTTATCTTCAAGTGTAAGATAAGCTGAGGACACTTCTTATCTCAAAAGAAAATAATAATTGCATTATTAGCTTTTGTGTTGTAAATAGGTTTCCAATTAATATTTCCTTTATGCAGATGTGAAACCTTGAGAATACCAAGTCCTTGAGATCCACCCCCACCCCCCCGCCCCTTGTAGTGTGTAACTAAAGTTTCCAAATTGCCATTCTCAGCTGAGGATGTTCCACAAGATTGAAGAAATGACCTTTACGGTGCAATAACATTCCTTAGCCGTCAGGAATTAGCACGTTGCATCTATCATTCTTGCAAGCCTTTAAGGTATGTGCACAGTTCTGTTATGTCATTCCTGTAATGATGTTATAGCCTTGAGAGAGACTTTGCTCTCCTCAGCGCAGCTATAGCCCAGAAAATTTGTGCTCTTGTTACTGCTTTATGTTATTACCACCATGTGATGTGTCACAAAATAGAACTTTCTCTTTGCTTAAAAAAATGTGTTCTGTAATCTTACGGATGCAATTATTTTATTTTATTTTATTGGTGATTCCAGGTCACTATGTTCCAAAACTTTAGGAAGGTGGTTGCAATACTTTTCAGGTCCATGACAACTTCCTTAGAAGTTAACCAAGCCATGTTCTCCTTCCTTCCTTCCTTCCTTTCTTTGGCGATCCCTTGTAGCCGAGTAAGATTGTCTTCCATAAACACGGTTTTAACAATGAGTCCGTAGGTGACTGTGGAGGCCAATTCTGGATCCACACGTCCTTCTACAGTAGGGACATTGGTTTCCAGGCGGGAGTTGATCACGGTCAGGGTTTGCCAAGCATGCCTTTCTCTTAGCACGTTTTTCCCTTGCCTCCTGAGTTCAAGTGTCTTCAAAGCCCATGACACCTTTGGTAAAGGCTGTTCTCCAACTGGAGTGCTCGCAGGCAAGTGTTTCCCAATTGTTGGTGTTTATGCTACATTTTTTAAAATTTGCCTTGAGAGAGTCTTTAAACCTCTTTTATTGACCACCAGCATTACACTTTCCATTTTTAAGTTCGGGATAGAGTAGTTGCTTTGGAAGACGATCATCAGGCACAACATGACCAGTCCAACAAAGTTGGTGTTGAAGAATCATTGCTTCAACACTGCTAATCTTTGCTTCTTCCAGTACACTGGCATTAATTCGCCTGTCTTCCCAAGTGATGTGTAAAAATTTCCGGAGACACTGTTGGTGGAATCTTTCGAGGAGTTGGAGATGACATTTATAAGTGGTCCATGTTTCACAAGCATACAGTAAGGTTGGTAGTACAATAGCAATGTAAACAAACATTTTGGTTTCCCTGCGAACGTCCCGGTCCTTAAACACTCTGCACTTCAGTCGGGAGAAAACCGCACTTTTATTATTTATATGCCCCCTCCCCAGCTGACTGGGTTCCCCATAAAGTGTGCTTTTGTAGTCTTTCCTCACTATGTAGGAAGGTTTGTTTGTTTTTTCCGTGAGGCCCCACATCCTAGTCTATGAATCAGCAGTTTAAAATTGCAACTCAGAATAAAATCAGGAGTAAAACTGCTTGCAAAGGTGCAATCTACAAAGCCCTTCTTGTGCACCCCTTTGATTCATTTCAGCTTCACTTGACCAGATGTGACACTCTGTGGATGGTATCCCGGGACTTTTCAGTAATGATTAACATGTCCAGAGAAGGCATGTCTGGATTCACTGGGTTATTTTGTTAGCTTGGCTTATTAACCCAATTTTTAGGGCCGGATTGACTATTAAATAGGCAAATATATTGTGTCGGGCTTGGGGAACTGCTCGTTCTTGCCACTTAATGCACTTGCCAAAGCTTCAATGCAGGAGCTAATAAAAATGAATTTACTTAACCAACCAGCCATTAATGCAAGAAAAGAATTTTATTTGCCCAAGTTTAAAAGTGAGCCCAGGAAAACAAATAACAATGCAGTTAAATATATGTCTGCAGTATATTTAACTGAGTTTATTTCATGTGCCACATGGATCAAAATCTGATTACATTTTATTTTATTATAGTAATTAAACTGCAGGTGTCATTAGAATGAGCTACATTTAGGCTTGTAAAGCGTAAGGTGCCCTACTGACTTGGAGCGTTCACCCTGTTAAAATTGTTAGGGTACCCAAAGGAGATGAGGCACAGTACTTGCTCTGGTGGCAGCTGTCAGAATGGGTTTTGTTAGCAAAAGCTAGGAGGTCTGTTAGAGCGAAGTGGCTTTTGCCGACGGCACCAAGGGAGAGCGAGGAAAGTCAGGCCACTAAGCTCACAAATTTCTCAGGCTAATAACCTGCCATGAGCATCCAAGGGTGTAACAAACCACGGGGACACCAGGATCACACCACCTTCAAAGGAGGTGATGGAGCCGCTGTTATCCTTATCTTGCAAGGTACCATCGTTTTTGTTGTGGTGACATCTGAAGATAGGGACCTTTCTCTCCATTTTTGCTTAGATGAAGTATCCACTAGTGGGTGGTATTTTTGGGGGGTGGGATGCAGAGAGGCTTAACTGACCGTGGGGTGCAGAGAGGCTTAACTGACCTCCCAGCAGGTGAGTCACTGCTGCTTACCTGTAGGAGGACAGCAGGGAGGGCTGTGTGGTAGAAATGCGCTGACAACATTGCCGGATTGACTCTGCCGGTGTGTTTTCACCACGCCACCCTCCCTGTCGCCTCATTCCTCGCTGGCCCGGGAAGCAGCAGAGACTCACCTGCCAGGAGGTCAGGTAAGTGCTACCATGCCATCCACTACTAGAAGAGCTTTGTACAGTCATGGTACTATATAAAGATATAGTGGGCAGAGTGTTAGGCTAGGACCAAGGAAACCGGGACTCCAAGCTCCGACCTGCTCATTAATGCAAGATCTGGTTATTTCATATCAGAAGTCGTGAAGATTGAATTCTTCAAGCATCCCTAAGAAGTGATTCACACTGTTTCTGTTTATATGAACACAGCATCAGCTTCAGTTTCCTTTTCTTGTCAATGCCTGGTTGCATGTTGGTCATTAGGATGAATGGAAATAGCAAAAGCTTTTCTCTGCCTTCCTTGTTCAAAACAAATCAAGAGACTTGCATGAAGATTTATAATTATGAGGAGAGAAAAAATGAAGCTCTCTCCCATCTTTTTTTAATAACCAGAAACTAACGCAACGGGCTATATTGATTCATTCTGGGGTTTTCATTTCCCCGTCTTTAACAAAAAAAGAATCGGAGAAGCCCCCTGCATGAGCATTCATGTTTGCTGGCGTTCATCTTGTCAGCTAAAATAATTCATTGATCACTAATCACCTGTGGTTGTTTGCACACTACAGTTTCCCTGTGTAGCACAAAACCGCACCAGGGCTCATAGGTGCCACGGGAAGTAATCAATAACAAGGCCTCATGAAGTTCGTACTGAGAAGACTCTGGAAGGCTTTTGTGGAGTGGGGAGAAAACAGTTATAAAAACAAGCACTCCTTTTGACTGCTAAGAAAGGTCTGTCTCACATTCCCCTATCTGCCTTCCACAGTCCACCAAACACTATAGGAGTCTCAATCTACTCCCCTCCCCTCATATCTCTCTTCATGTTACAAATAAAGTTGAACACTTACTTTTTGATCTCTTCCTTTTGCAAAGCCTGACAGGATATATATATTTAAATCCTACCCATATCTATGCAGAAGTAAGTCCTGAATTCAATGGGGCTTACGAC